TCATTGTCGCTAAAATTGCAGAATTTGGATGATAGTTTTAATTGGGTGTTGATGAATGTTTATGGGCCTAATTCGTATAGGGAAAGGAATGAGATGTGGGAAGAATTGGTAGATGTGAGAGGTTTGTGGCAAGGCCCGTGGTGCTTGGGGGGGGGGGGGATTTTAATGTGATCAGACAAACTGCCGAATTGAACAATCCGAGATAAAGGATAACCACTAGTATGAAAAGATTTAATAATTTTATAAACACATTTGAACTTAAGGAAATCGGGACTAGACAATATATACCTGGACTAATTGTTAGGAGAACCCAATGTGCTCAAAGCTGGATAGGTTTCTTGTGTCTTTGGACTGGGAGGAACATTGGAGTAACATGGTGGACAGGATGCTGCCCAGGGTCACCTCAAATCACTGGCCGATATGTATTGGACAAGGGTTGAATAGCAAAGGGCCGACGCCTTTTAGATTTGAGAATATGTGGTTAACGGTCCTAGAGGTTATGCGTAAGGTTGAGGAGTGGTGGAAGGAAGATAACCCTCAAGTTATATGGGAAGGGATTAGATTCCGAATGAAGCTTCGGAAAAGCAAAAATCAAGGAGTGGAATATGAAAAAGTTCGAGAGGATAGAAGAGAGGAAGGCTTTTTTTACAAACAGGATTGAAGAATTAAATAAAAATGAGGTATCTGGCTCATTGGGTGTAGGGGAAAGAGATGAGAGATTTAATTTAAGAAAAGAGTTAGATTCTACACACCTTAGAGAAGAAATGACTTAGAGGCAGAAATCAAGAGTGCGCTGAATCAAAGAAGGGGATGGGAATACAAAATATTTTCACATGGTTGCGAATGGGAGAAAAAGGAAGAATTTGATCTCTATGTTAGAATTGGAGGGTCGCACTTTAACTAATCATGACGAGATTGTAGAGACTTTAGTGGATCATTTTAAATCAATCTTAAGAAGGCCTATCTCAGAAAGATGGAAGAAAGAAGGTTTTGATTGGCCAGTCCTAGAAGCTGTCGTTAGTAGGAGCCTGGAGAGAAATTTTGAATTAGATGAGATGAAGGAAGCAGTTTTTTCCATGGACCACTTTAAAGCTCTCGGGCCCGATGGATTCACTATAACTTTCTACCATGATTGTTGGGAATGGCTAAAGGATGATCTAATGTGAGTCTTTGTGGAGCTTTATGATAAAGGGATTGTCAGTAAAGGGGTAAATGCCACTTTTATTGCGTTGGTTACCAAGAAATTTGGTGCCTACCACCCCAAAAGTCCTTGCAAAAGTCCTCTCTATTCGGTTAAAAAAGGCCCTCATGTCAATCATATCTCATTTTCAAGGGGCCTTCATGCAAGATAGACAAATTTCAGATCAAATACTCATTACCAATGAGTGTGTGGAGGATTTCAAGGTAGCAAGAAGGAAGGGCATTGTGTGTAAGTTGGATTTAGAGAAAACCTATGACTTGGTGGATTGGGAGTTCTTAGTTGAAGCTTTGAGGAAGTGTGGTTTTAGGGCAAGATGGTGTAAATGGATTAAAGGATGTCTTCAATTTTCCCATTTTTTGGTGTTGGTGAATGGTGCAGTTAAGAACTTCTTTAATGCACTAAGATGTGTGAGACAAGGGGACCCTTTGTCCCCTTTCCTTTTCACCATTTTAGTTGAGATCTTTAGCAAATTGATCTCAAAGGTAGCGGAGGTAGGATTGTTAAGGGGTTGAAAAGTAGGTAGGGGGAGGGTAGTGGTAACTCATCTACAATTTGCGGATGACATCATTATCTTCTATGAGGTTGGTGATGAGTTAGGGGCAAGAAAACTGAGAATGTTGGTAAAAATCTTTGAAAAAGTGACAAATCTAAGAGTGAATCTCCACAAGAGCAAGGTGGTAGAGATCAATTTAGCATCAGAAGAGATTAATGTTTGGGCCGAGGAACTAAGATGTTTAAGTAGTGAGTGGCCACTCAAGTATTTAGGGCTCCCCCTTGGTGCAAATCCTAAAAGCATAGATTTTTAGAATCCAGTTGTGGAGAGGTTTGAAAAGAATCTTGCGATGTGGAAGAGGAATTATATCTCTTTGGGGGGAAGGATTACTCTTATCAAGTCTACCCTAGAAAACCTTCCAGTTTACTACCTCTCAATGTTTAGTTTGCCTCAAGCTGTGAGAAAGAAATTAGAGAGAATAATGAGGGATTTCTTGTGGGAACTGAGAGAAAAGAAGAAAGATCATTTAGTAAGATGGGATCTTGTAACTAGGAGGAAACAATTTGAAGGATTGGGGTTATGAAGGTTGAAGGAAAAGAATGAGGCTCTACTAGGAAAGTGGTTATGGAGGTTCCCATAAGAAACAGATAGGATGTGGCACAAAATTGTGACTAGTATTCATGGGCTCTCTGAAAATGGTTGGGATGTTGGGGTGTCTTACTGGGCTTCCAGTGCTTCACCGTGGAAAGCGATTCACAAACTCCTCCCATTGTTCTTCAATCATGTCAGGTTTGATCTCAACTCAGGTAATAAAGTCAAATTTTGGGAAGATGTTTAGGTGGGTGACTCTTCTTTAAAGACTTCATTCCCTTCAGTTTTTGCTCTGTCTTGCTTTAAAGGAAAACCGGTTACTGATTTCCTGTCCCCCTCTCCCTCACAATTTGGGTATACTTGGAACCTAGGTCTCCGCAGAAATGTGCGTGACTCAGAGTTGGATTTGGTGTTTGTTATTATTTAGTTGCTTGATGGGATTTTTTAGATTCTACCAAGTAAGACACTAGAATTTGGATTCTGAACCACCTTGGTGAGTTTAGTTGTGCGTCCTTCTTCAAAGCTTTGACTTCTTTTCAACCTGGGGTCCATTATCCATTCCGTGAAATCTGGTGTCGCCCTATTCCCCCTAAAGTGGGTGCCTTTTGTTAGAAAGTTTACCATGGTGCAATTAACACCTGTGATCTGATGCAGAGGAGGAGGTCTGACTGGTGCCTTTCACCTAATTGGTGTTGTTTGTGTGAATCTAATGGTGAAACTGCTCTTCGTATTTTTGTTTCATATCCTATAGCTACCAGCATATGAGAGTGGTTCTTTTTTCTCTTTGGTTGCAGGTGGGATACCCTGGTGAGCCTGGGGAGAAAACCTTATAGAGATGCACATGGGCAGCAGTACTTTGGATGTTATGGGAGGAAAAAAATCTGAGGATTTTTTAAGGGAAGAAAAGGTGCAAGGATTTATTGATAGAGAGGATTATGTTAAAAGTGACTTCATGGGTAAAATCGATGGAGTCATTCTCAAACTTTACTATGAATCATATAATCAGGAACTGGAGGGTTGTAGCTTCCTCGTCATCTGCTAAAAAGAAGGTAGTAAGAAGTTGGAATCCTCCTGAAGCGGGATTCCTCAAATTAAACTTTGATGGGAGCAATTTTGGCAACCCGGGCATGGCTGGTATTGGTGGGGTCATTAGAGATGACAGGGAGAATGTAATGGGGTAGTTTTCCGGCCCTATTGGGTGGGGAGACTCCATTACAGCTGAACTAAAAGCTCTAGTTTTTGGAATACAAAAGGCCTCGGAAATAGGTGCAAGGAAGTTGGTTGTAGAAGGCGACTCCAAAGTGGTGATAACCGGCTGAAGCAGGATGGAAAGGCTCCATGGGCATTCAGAAATGAGATTAAGAAAATTAATCACTCCACAAAGGATATAAAGGTTTTATTTCAGTAGACTCCAAGAGCAGCAAATGGGTTTGCGGATCAGCTAGCAAAGCAAGGGGCTAACAGGGAATATTATTTTTGGGCTCTATTGTAAGTCTACAAAGCAAATTTTAGGTGAAATGTCTTTGGACATTGGGGTAGCCGAGGCTACTCATTCTCTGTACTAATATTCTCTTTCTTATTAAAATCATTTTCACTGATAAAAAAAATAAAAAGTTTGATGGTAGCGATGAAAGAAATTCGGGTCCTCCAGGCAATGGCGGTGTTTTTAGAAATGATGAAAGAAAAGTTATTGTTTTCTACTCGGGTCCAATTGGGGTAAGTGACTCCTTAAGTGCTCAAATATTGGTTGTCATGGAGGGAATCCAAAAAGGCCAAGGAGCTGAATATCAATAGGCTGTCAATGGAGGGGATACAAAGTTATAAATTGATTTCAAAAAGAAGAGATTGGATGGTGGGACCATATTATTATGAAAAAAAGAAGTATTATGTGACTTTTACAAGGAATGGAAGTGACTTCTCAATGGGTGAGAAGAGATGCTAATTCGTCTGATTCAATTATTAATAAAAAAAGTTGTTAAGAATGTGGCATTGAAGACCTGTCATTCGAGCAGAATAAGAACATTCCTCCCTGCGGAAAGAATGTTCTCTTGACGACACTTTCTTTTCTTAGTTCATATTTTCTGAATTCTCATTCTTAAATTCCAGTCTTACTGAAAACTAGATTGCCCAATTTCTTTGACGATTGGTTCAGTTGTTAAGGTCTCTAATTGGTTGTGGCGGAGACTTTGGGATCGAATCAGGGGCCTTCATGCATGGGATCCCTCAACCAAATGCAGCCTCAGGAACGCCAGACTCAACTTTTGTCATGTATATAAAATTTCAACTAGCAGAAAGTACGATTATAAAGGGACCATGGCCATCGTAATATCGAGTTCGGATTCTTCACAGAATCCTCACACCCATCTCATGACACTTTGCAGCTGATCTGATGTAATATCTCCCATTCATTCATGGGGAGATGTTCCCAATCCACGGCTGTGAGGTGGGTGAGTACCATAACTTACCAGCCACATGTCATGCACCTTTCTTTCCATGTAAGATGGCTGTGTTTGGTTTGAAGGTAGGGAAAGAGAGATGGCACCTTTCTTCCCAATCCACGGCTATACAAACCTTGTATGGGTTTCTCCACATTTCCCTGACGTTTTCCTTCAAACCAAACACAGCCTAAGTGAAAATGGCAGTAGGTACCGTATATCACCGGCCACAAGGCTACCTGTTTGCTGTTCATTTTATTCAATTCCGTCGTCGAACATGTTAATGCAAAGATTATATGATTTTACCAACAACACAGTCCGTGCATCGAAAAAGGGAGGGACGACATACAAGTGTTAGAATCCAATTCCTAATTAATTTAATGCAAACAAGTAACTGCTGAGCTTGAAGAGGTTAGTTCGTTAACAACAGCCTCCACGCTCTTCACGTAGTAATGTGATGTGATGATACTCATGCTATTGCTACATACACTCACTAATATAATACAAAGCGGTTGTTCACCCGGTTTTCTGTCACTGAGTGGGTTGGAGTTGGACGTGTGGGCAGGGTCTATATGGCTCTCCATTTGTCCATAAATTCTTAAATTCACCTCTCTTCTTCCCCAGAGTGAAAAATGTGCCTGCATTGCAATTTGCATAAGGAAGATTCAGATTAGAGAAGACGAAAAGAGAACTCAACTCAAACAACAGAAGCCCTTCTATGTCACCCACCAAGTGTGAAAGGAACAATGTAAAGTAGAGCTGGCTGGCCATGTCCATCCATCAAGTTTAAAGCAACATACGTGATAAGGAGACCTGCAAATTTCATGCAACACAATGGTTATTTTGGGAGAATGGCTGCTAATCAATCATGAAACTTAAAGAAAGCTTGCATCAAATCAAATGCCAAAGCAGAATGTATACTTTCATATTTTATCCAATTTCCATTTTAAGCAAAATCTGTCTAGAACTAATGGGCAACTTCTCATCCCCCTTGGTTAGAAAATGTTTAACTGGAGTTATGGTTGTGCCATACATATACATACACATCGTAAGGTCTGATTTTTAAAAACAAGCTGACCTGGACAATTGAATTAGTTGACCTGGAACTAAGATACTTGTATGATTCTGTTCAACTGCAAATGATTAGTGCTCCAAACAATTGATGCAATTGATTGGCCCCAGCTGGTTTCTAGAAAACACCATACCTACTGGATGGATCATTTCAAACCATCTAGGTCAGTCTCAGACAAAGGGGAAAAAGGAAGGAAACATGATGAACCCCATCATTCCTCTTATTAAACAGATTGTGCTTCAGAGAAATCAGAATGTAAACATAAATCCATTAATTTTTAATTTAATCCAACTTCGTACTTATACTTCACATTCAATCAAGTTCCCTGTTCATCTTATGGTTCATTGCCTGCACAGTGCAGACTATGGTGAATATCGGGCTAACACTTTTGGTCTTGTTTATGCTGCTGCATGCAGCACATTGAAAGGAGATATGGTAGATGCAGCAGTCCCTGTAACAGCCTAAGCGAGGAGACTGGTAAGGATAGGAATGAGCATGACGATTACACCATTCGGTATCTACTTAACCTTGTTTTGTACTTTTGTCATTCCCATCTGATACCAATACACTGATAAAAAAGCTTTGCTCCATGCAAATGGCTGCTCAACGATTCATAATCCAAGCATTTGACCTGCTTGCTTGAACAATTTGAGCTCCACTCCAGGTTACAAAACATTGTCAAACCAACTCCATCTGTGTTTCTAATATATGATATGGTTGCAGGTTCCCAACAATATCCCATTTATTTTCTGGTCTTTCCCCCTCCCCTCTTATTAGTAAATGTTAAAAGTGGGGCATTTAGAAGGCTCTTACCTAAACCATAAGCCACCATCGCCCAAAGGAAGTATCCAGTTCGAAGATTCTTCTTTGCTAACCAATCATACCTACAAGTTACCCATAATTGATATGATAACCAATTAGTACATTGCCAAATCAACATAATCTTTTTTGGGTTCAACATAATCTTTCTTTTGATTTGTTTAAAACAAATAGAATTACAATGAAGCATTTCAGCAAATATAATAAAAATATGCTACAGAAAGAGGCCAGAGCAAATGGAATCATTCATAATATGCAGAAAGTGCGAAGGGAGTGCATAGAGTAGAGTTGCTTAAGGTGACAGCACTCTACAAAACCCTAATAGGATTAGCATTTCTCATGCAAGGAGTGTTTTCTTACTTCAAAACCCAACCAATGCCTCTCAACCTTGTGAAATGCAGAAAATATAAGACATTATGTCTAAATAACAAATACAACTCTACAAGTTTGCAGCACCTAAAAGGTAGAATAAAGGTAAAAATGGCTTCAGAGTTTTAAGTTTAACCTCAATGAAAAAGCTATTAGCAATCCTGGTAAGAGAATGTCACCAAATCCGATAATGCTGTAACCACCCCAAGGATCGAACATTCGAGGAATTTTCAGTAACATTGGAATACCATCTTCACCACTTTTGTCACCCCGGGCTACCTACAAAGAGCAGAGTCGAAATATATACATCTCACTCACAATTGAAATATAAAACAATAGCAAATATGTAGCGAACTGTAGAATCAAGTTCAAAATATAACTTACCACTATCATTACACTTTCATGGAACCACTTCTTAGAAACAAACACCCAGAAAATATCATACATGAATGCACAACTTAGAAGCACTGTGCCCACCTGATCTCATTAAGAAGCATTAGAAATCAGTCAAACTGAATTACCAAAAATATCAATGACCTAATAAAACAGTATGTCTGGAACTCCAGATACTAAGCAAATGTTCTTAAGAGACATGCCACAAGCACTACAATGATTAACACAAACATTTGCAACGAAGTATATTGCTGGAAGCATACCACATGACCTTTACCAAACTTGAGGTCCAACCTGAGTTTTCAGGACCAGGCTCAGCTTAAAGCCCAAAACCCCAACCCAATCCATGCAAAAGCTTGAATTGGCCGGGCCTGCCCAAGTTGTAGTCCTATGTACTGATATGGTAAAGACATGTATGATAGAAATGGTGAATAGGATGTAAAACCAAGATGAGGCCACTTAAACTCCATCTTACGGAAATGATCAGGGTTAAGCCTGTACCATACCTCTTTAGTATATATGAGTTAACTAGACATCTAGAGACAGTTTTTTTTTTTTCTTTTACTTTTCTTTAATGGCAGTCTCAAATAATATAGAGGTAATGCAAATTTGAAACTCTGGAGAGATGCTTTAGAACCAAAAGATTTCATGATAAGCTGGATCCGAATAGAATATATGGAATGTATTTTAGTAATAAAATGTGTGACTTACGGTAAGAGTTAGACCAGCTAGATCTTATAATTCTCCTGCTGATTCTTTAGATTGGCAAGGAGTAGTAGACAGACTTTTACCCTTTAGAGTAAAAGTTTTTACCAGTTACTGATAAAAAAACAGTTAAACTAACTATGAAATAAAATGATCATCTCCAACAGTTAAGCTTGATTATTTTTTGATAAAAACAATTAGGCTTAATTATTCATAAGGAGAATTAGATTATCATTAATTAGTGCAAGGTAGATAAGACTTTCTATGGTATTATGTGGACACTAACCAACCAAACCAACAGAAAATTTCTTAGGCCCCATGCTTACCTGGATACGGCAAGGAAACAGACTGGATAACTATCATACAGAATTTATACTAAAAATTGAAGTATCTGACATGATAAAGCACCCTTGTACAACTATCTGCCTATCTGGGTACTATAGCTCTAAACCAGTGGTGCTGTATGAAATGAATGTTGGGAAATAAAAAACAATTTACAACGTATAATGGATGTTGGGCAATAAAAACAATGTATATATTGAATAAACTAAGTCAAGATGAGAATGTTGAGAGTAGAACGAATGCCAAAACTATGAAAGATAAAACTAGAAACAAATCCATTTGTAAAATTTGGAGGAATTGGCCAGCTAGCTAGATGTTCATCTATAAGGAATAGGGTATTGGCAAGTTGGCTACCCCCTCCTGGAGGTTCTTTGAAGCTGAATTTTGAGGGGAGCAGTCAAGACAACCCAGGTTCCTCTGAAATGGGAGGTGCTTTGAGAAATGAATTTGGTGAGGTCATATTCTTTTACTTGGGTCCTTTGGGGATTGGGGACTCCACTGTGGAAGAATTATTAGCTGCCTTACAAGGGGTGAAGTTTGCAAATCAGTTAGGAGTGGAGCAACTTTTGATTGAAAGGGACTCCAAGGTGTAGGGTGGTTGAAGAACCCAGAGCAAGCTGTGTGGTGTATAAGAATGAAATCAAGAAATTTAAATGGCTGACATGAAATATGCATGTGAGAATACAGTGAGCAGGGAGATCAGCAAATGCACTGGTTGATTTTCTTTCTTTTTTTTTTTTTTTGAAAATTACCCTGGTTGATTGGTTGGCGAAGCAAGGGGCAAGAAGGGAACAATTGTTTTGGGTTCTGCTGTAATTTGTTATTTACTCTTTTTTGTAATGTAATCTATTAGGGAGAGGCTGCAGCTCGCGCCTCTCCAAGGGATGCTTGTATCAGTTTTAAATCTCTGAATTAATAAAATTCATCATTTCTTATCCAAAAAAAAAAATAGAGATAGTCCCACTAACCAACAATACGTTAGAATGTCAACTAAGATGATCTCATAATATACGTCAAATTCAATGATTGCATTAAGGAATAAATACATTTTGAAGACTCTGAAAGGGCAAGGTGAATGCTAGAAAGGGCACAAAAAATAATGGGACGAGACATGAGGAAATGTGATTAACATATTGCCTAGATGAAGTAGAATCATAAAGTAAGATTCAATAACAATAGGTCTTATTTGAGTTAGATTTTGAAATACCAAAATTGTCATCACTAAAATTATACAAGGATGAAAGAATTAATATTGAGGATATCCCACATCATTCACACTACAATGAAAACCTAAGGTCACCGGGCCCTATATCCTACCTTGTGTTGAAGTATTTTCCCAAATGATGTTAGCCATACAAAATCTCATATACACACAAACAAAGCTTTTTTTTTTTTTTTAAATATGAAGCAAGGGCTTTAAGTTAAAATTTGTCCAATAGATTGTGGATGGAGAAACATGTGAGCCTCTGGGCCTGTAATCATTGTTGCCACATGAAGGTTTCCTTGGTCGTTTATACTACTATAAATGACTCAATTACAAACCTACAAGGCCATGACAACTATTGAATCATTTGCTCAATTCAAACCATTCACTGCATAGGGGACAATCTTCTTAAGTCAAGGGTTCACTCACCACACCACGCCAGTCCTATGGCCCATCTACTATTGGAGTTTTCTGTGGATGATATGAGCTGTCTGAAGTTTCATATGGAAGACACATGGGTTGTGTTTAGACTCTGGTAAATGCCCCAACGACACAAAAAAGCATGTAGATGTTTACGTTTATATCTGTTTTCATATGTTTGCATCGGGCTCTAATTTGTGCAACTAAATTGAAGTTGTTAGATTCAAAGAAATCTAAATAATAACCATGCAGACATGATATGCTGTCACAGAGTAATATCCAATGAAAGAAAAGTTGAGTCTACATTATTACCTTGAGGTTAGGTACACGGACAATTTGAAGAACTGTAATTATCAATGCAATACCCTGAACAAAAAAGAATTCAAAAAAAGGGGGATGTAAGATAAAATAATATTATTCAGTGCTAAGGCCATGAATAAAATGATTCTAATTGTATAAACATAAATTTCAACTTTCAAAAGCAAGTATATAAGGAGGATTTTGCATTCTTTGCCAAAGTAGTATGTTTTATCTATCCCAGAAATATGTTCAGTATTTCCATGGGAACTCCAGGAATATGTATTACAAAATGAGAGAATAAGAATACAAAGATGATCAATTCCCCTTACAAGAATATCTTGGCCTATCCATGCAAAGGAGATGCGCCGATACACAGCCCAAACAACAGCAAATGCTATGCAGAATGGACAAACAGCTATTGTAAGGTAAGAAACAGCTCCAAAGAAGGGTACTTTAACAAATGATTCTCCAGCATGTTTGAACCACCTGAAAATATATCTAGTCAAAACCAAAGATTCAAAGAACTTCATGGAAGTTGAAAAACAAAGAGATACCTCCAATAAGTTAAAGTTAATCAATCAAACCTATATGATGTGATGGAGAATACACATAAAGAACATGCTTTTTTGTCATATTTATTAGTTACCTGCCTTTTCCTTTTCATTCTTTTTCCTTTGTCGAAAACATAAAAAGAAAATCAAAGATATAGGAATCTACTACTGTTTACAATTATCAAGAAATTCACATGAAGTCCTTATGAGCTGTTTGCTTCTGATGTTGTACATGGTAACTCACTCCTTTCTTGTCTAGGAAAATCTCCTTATGTTATTAAGAAAAAAAAATCAGTTTAGTATATCAGAGATTGTTCTTAAAGTATAAAGAGCTTTGGCATGTTCTATAAATTCCATTAAAATTCAGAAAAATCAAATGTTGCACATACTTCCATATGGAATGGATGATTCTTCTTTTTATTCCCCCACCCCAGCAAATTTTATATGGCTACCAGCATGATAATAACTACTTGAAACAAAACTTCCCAAGCATAAAAATTGAGTCTTTTGACTATTTCACCAAACCTCATGAATAGGGCACATGACAAGCCAAGTTCCCAGAAGAAAATCAGGAGATGAGTAGAGTAGGATGATGCAATAGGGCTGGAACGAACTATCACGAGAGAGAGAGAGAGAGGGAGGGAGGGAGGGAAGGTGGAGGAAGAGAAAAGAGAGAGAAATCCCAAGGAATCACTCCAAGGGTCCTAGAATCACTCTAGGTTTGTAGGAATCACCATACAACAAACTTGCAAGAGAGTAGGGGTGTAAATGGATCGAATCCAATTAGAAAATCCGATATCTGAATTTGATTTGATATCCAACGGATATTGAAAAATAATATTCGAATTCGAATCTGGTTAAATATTCGAATATTCAATTCAATTCGAATTTGACAAATTAATTATTTTAGGTAATTAATAAATATATAAAATAAATATTTTTTATATAAATATATAGACTATTTAAATAATTTAATTATTTTATAAAAATTATATAAAACATTTAAATATTTTATATATTATATATAAGATTAAATAATCGGTCAAATTCGGATTTTATCGAATCAAATCAGGTCATATCCAAATTCGATTCGATTATGTCGAATCTCTAATTCGAAATCAGATTTTCAAATACCATTGAGACCCCTACAAAAGAGCTTTAAAGAAATCTTCATTAGCTTTAAAAGGAAGAGAATACATCTATTTATAGATTGACTTGTGCGGCCCGGAATACTGTTCACCATAATTACAAAAAAAGCCACTCCTTGTCTTGTGCATGAAGAAACATAATAACTTTCTACCTACTAATGCAAATAAACTGAAAATTGAAGAGAACTACTAAGCTAGAGGAACAAGATGCTATAGCCCAAGCCCACATGGGGCTGGCCAAAATGACGAAAATACCTTTGACCAGATCAGTCCAAGTCCCAAGAGTCTCTTCCATGCCAAATCAGAACCTGTTTGTTGGCCTTCTTCTTATTAGAATAGGTCTTATAATGCCTGGACCGATCCCCATCGTCTCCCCTTGGCTTGAAAGAATTCGGCTCTGGCAAGTTAAAGGCATGATATTGCACATAAAGTTTGGGATTAAGATGATACAAGTCTTTGGCTGTAACCCACGAACATTCTGAAAGAGATAGATTCTTCCACTTTACAAGAAAATTTTGACAAAGCCCGCTTGCTGTAGAAATCAACTTCTCATCAAGGATGTCTTCAAGCACATCAGTAGGTGGAACCAAAGGCAGCTTAAGCAATGAGACTGTGGGACAACCACTATGGCCATGATATGCACTTAGGTCTTCAACATTGAAGATTGGGCTAATTCCCATGTCGCTTGGCATCTCCAGGACATAGGCATTAGAATTGATTTTCTTAGTGATATTGTAGGGACCTGCACTCTTGGAGTGAAGCTTCTTATAAAAGCCCTTAGGAAAGCGTTCAATACATACATGCACCATATTCATATCATCCTCCTCAATATCAGCTAGGTGCCTATGCAAATCAGCTTTGGCTTTGTATGCATCATAGCTAAGAGCAATCTTGTGTCTAACTTCATCATGGATTTCTCTCATGTGGCAAGCAAAGCCTTTGGCCTCTATGCTAGTCATGGCGTCTTGTGGCAAAGACACTAAATCAATAATCCTCTTAGGCTGAATTCCAATAACTATCTCGAAGGGACTTCTTCCAGTTGACCTGTTGACTGAATTGTTGTAAGCAAATTCAGCCATAGGTAGGATGAGATCCCACCTGGAAGTATGGTTACCAACTAAGCAATGTAGCAAATCACCAAGGCTCCTACTAACTACCTTAGTTTGGCCATCAGTCTGTGGATGAAAAGAAGATGAAAACTTCGGTTTTGTATTGAGAAGTTTCCAAAGTGTCTTCCAAAAATAACTCATAAACTTAGCATCGCAATCAGAAACAATAGTAACAGGAACACCATGTAAACGAACAATTTCCCTAAAGAATAGGTTTGCCACATGTGAGGCATTGAATGTCTTAATGCAAGGAATAAAGTGGACCATTTTTGAGAACTTGTCTACCTCAACATAACTTACTGTCTTGGGCAGACCTAGGACAAAATCCATAGAGAAATCTTGCCAAGGCTCATGTGGAATTGGTAAAGGGGTGTACAACCTTGCATTTTTCTTTCTCCCTTTTGCCAATTGACAAATTCTACACTGTTTGATCACATGTTCAACATGAGCCTTAAGGCTAGGCCAATAAAAGCGATTTCTACCATAGCAATGGTCTTGTCTCAACCAAAACGCCCAAGAATTCCACCTACATATAACTCCCATATAACATAATGGATAGAAAAGCCAGGATATTCAAATTGCTGTCTAGCTTGTAAAGAACCATAAATGATGCTGAAATCCTTGCAACCAACATAATCTTGCTTCAATTGATCGAACCCCACATCTTGTACAGACATAGAATGAAGTATATACACCACTTGGCTCAATGCATCAGCTACTTGGTTCTTGGCACCAGCTGTATGCTTAATCACAAAGTTATATTTTGCTAAAAATTCAGCCCATTTCTGATGTTGACTACTAAGATACTTATGGGATTTGAGATATTTGAGTGCCTCATGATCTGAATACAAAACAAACTCTTGGGAAATTAAATAATGACACCAATGTCAAAGACATTGCACAACAGCACAAAATTCCTTGTCGTATGTGGAATTTTTTGTTTAGCTTCATTAAGATTTTCACTATGAAAAACTATAGGATGTCCTTGCATAAGCAAACCACCTATTCCAACTTGGGAAGCATCACAAAACACTTCAAAGATTTTTGAAAAGTTGGGCAATTGTAATGCTAGGGTCTCAGTCATCCTTTGCTTGATAGTTTCAAAGGCTTTAGTTGCAGCCTTAGATCAAACAAATTCCTCATTTTCATAGCTTTTGTAATTGGTGTCATAATAGTGTTGAAATTCCTTATGAAACGCCTGTAAAAAGTAGCTAATCCATGAAAGCTTCTCACTTCATGAATGTTAGTGGGGGTGGGCCAATCAAGGTTTCATAATTCTACAAACTCTGTCTTGATCTCATCTCCTTAATGGCAGTCCTTAGTGGGTGGTTCACATGTTGACCAGCAAGGTTATTGGTGTTAGAACCCTCTGCTTCAGCTCCTCCAGGTGGAAAACTAATGTTTTTCACTTCTTGGCCTTTCATCAACATTTTGACTTGAGCTTCTAGGGTGGTGATTAATAAGTGCAAGCAACAACTCTTCTTTAGCTTGTTCACTTAATCTTCCTCTCATCATCTCATGTTTCTCCCATGGTAATGAGTCATTTGAAACCTAATGCTCTGATACCAAATTGATGCAATAGGGCTGGAACAAACTATCACAAGAGAGAGAGAGAGAGAGAGAGAGAGAAGAGGGAGAAATCCCAACGCATCATTCCAAAGGTCATAGATAGAATCACTCTAGAGTTTGTAGGAATCACTCCATATAGCAAACTTGCAAGACAACTCTAAAGAAATCTTCATTAGCTTCAAAAGGAAGAGAATACATCTATTTATAGAGTGACTTGTGCGGACCAGAATTCTGTTCACCATAATTACAAAAAAGCCACTCCTTGTCTTGTGTACTACTACGCTAGAGGAACAAGATGCTATAGACCAAGCCCACATGAGACTAGTCAAAATGAGGAAAATACCCCTGGCCAAATCAGTCCAAGTCCCAAGAGTCTTCTCCATGCCAAATCAGAACCTGTTTGTTGGCCTTCTTCTTATGAGAACAGGTCTTATAATGCCTGGACTGATCCCCATCACATGATAAGCATGTAGAATGGAATAGAAAGAACAACTATGGTATTTGGAAAACAAATGAAGCTCGCTCACAACAAAATCAAATTCTAATTAGGTGATGCATTCAAATCCTCTACCAATACAAGCATAAATCATGGCTTCATCAGGAATGGGAGAAGGAACTGATTTAGTAGTTTAGCATCTAATATGAAGTCTTCTAAAGCAGAAAAAATTATGCAAAACGGGAGAGAACTGGAATGAACAATTATACCTTGACAATAAAGCCACCAAGCAAGTTTGCAGGCCCTGCAAGAACAAGAAGCAAAAGGGTTTAATTACAGTTTTGAGACAGTAAATGCATAAATCAATATTGAAGAACTGAAGTCTGATATTTCCAGTGGTCAACCCTAAAGCCATGTAGGAAACCTTCAAGTCTAAGTATATTTTTTGTAAACAAAACCAAACAGATACAAGTCCAAGGTGCATATGCATGGATCTATAAAATATGAAATGAAAGAAGGACAAACACACCTCTACTCCACCGATGCAAAATAGGACCACCAATAGCTCAACAAACCAGAAAGACATAAGTCTGTAAAGTAAAACTAAGAAGCAAGAAGCAATCACAACAAAAAGGACGGCTGATGTTGTGTTGATATCCACCACACCACTAGCACCTGGGGCTTCTACATTTACAAATTCATCTGAAGCATCCTACATGAGGAAAAATCAATTCATCTATCAAACCTACAAATCATCAAAGTTATCCACAAGATTCGGGAAAAAATAGAATAAACCCCTTGGGTATGAATGTATCAAGTAAGCTTCTAAATAAAGGATCGAAGAAAAAATAACCTTTAACAATTTGTCTTGTTCAATAGCTGCTTCTCTGGCACTCCATGCAGACCAATATGACGCACACAAGATGGTTCCAACTGCCATCAGCCATAAAAATACTTCTGCTATATCCACCAGTGGACGTTGTGGAGAATACAACTGCACAGCAACTGAAGAAAAATCATGGAACTTTAGCAAGAGGTTTAGCAACCAACAGCAGAAGGAGAAAACTGATGGAAGACTAAATATAGGGCCAAGAAAATGTGTATATCAAGGAGCAACTTCTTTCACCTCAACCAGGGTAAATGAAAGTTCACCTGAGGAATTCTTCTTAAAACTTGTTTCCAGTATTACACCAGCATCTTGTGGGAGCATGACTGCAGGAATGTGTATATCAAGGTCTGTTTCTTTGGGATCACAAACCATCTTGAATAGCTCTGCAGGATGAAACAGAAAGATACATCAACTAGCAGAAGAAGTTATGAGAACTGGTAATGTAGCAGAGCTCTTGTTATTTTGAGATAACAGCTAAGCTATAATTACATTTCTTTTCAATTTAGACTGTCAAGGCTCTGATTTTGTTTTGCAAATAGCTTTATTACAATAGAAAATTTTCAACCAACAAAAATGTAACAGCAGAGTTAACTAAACCATCTATACTGACAACAACAGCCAAATAGAGTCTTAACCTATTTTTAGTAAATCGTGTTTTGGGGGGCATCTTCCAATCCTTTTCTTTTGTTCAATTTATATTCTGTGATCTGTATCAATAGGGAAATGGTTAAGTGTGAATCTTTATCTCCACCAGTAGTTAAAAGTTATTCCATCAGCTCCTTTGTGATATTAATTCCATGAAGATAATAATAATGTGACAATCCAAATCTACATCTGCCCCTTTAAATATATAAACTAAGAAAACTTTATTTAACAACAACAAAATATTGGGATGGCTTAGTAAAAGCATATGAATCTAAAACCAGGAAAATAAAAAGGATAATATACACACCTTTTTTGTTATTTATGATAAGGATGGCTGAAGCACCAGCAGCTTGTGCAACATTTGCCTTTTTTGTGAATGTGCAATTACCTCGGTGCACAAGGATGACATCTCCAATAAGCTAGAAAAGAAAATGGCACTCTAAATTATAACCTTTTTATGCCACAATAAATCTTAGTGTTCATCATATAGAAGGATGCATGCCTTGCCAATTGGAGAAGAGAATAAAATAAAAGGAAAACCTTATTTTTGGGTTGGCTGCAACAATCAGGAGGGTCAGAAAGGGAAAGCTTAGTCTGGTTAGCATGTTTCTCCTTTGACTCCATGGTAGTGCCAAACCGAGCACCAACTCCGACAAACTCATTTCCTTCCTTTCCATCCACCCAAGTTTGGACTTTCACCTACCAAGCATCAAATGTCATTAACAAAGAGATGAGGGAGTAATAGTATAATAAAAAGAATGAGAAACACATAAGCAAAATGAGTCGATGTGGATCCACATGGAAACCAAAGGATACTTGATGAGAACCAAAAGGACCTAATATAATAAGCTACAATGCAATCAGAAATCAATTACAAGCCTATTGACTTACAATTGCTCATCTAATTATGGTACAAAGAGGGTTGAAGGACATTTCGGCAGAAAACAAAACGAAAACACTTGCAAGTGGTCTAGAACACTAGGAGGAAGATTCTCCTCGAACTTGGAACTTCTGATACACCGCCATCCATCCCCGAAGGCCCGAAGATGGAAGAATATTTTAAGAAAAAAAACCAAGACAACAAAGGCAGCAACAAATATAACCTGAAGAATACCAATTGCCCAACATAAAAAGAAGAAAAAATAAAATAAAACAATAGAGGTTTTAAATTCAGCAAGTTTGTCGCCACTCTGTACGAAGTAAAAATACCAGTTAAAACATCAAGCTCCAAGCAGATCGCAGAAAAAAAAGAAGCATCAACAACTAGTGAGAAATACCAACCAAAGTACGAAGAGGGAAATCAGAACCCCAAATTCCGCTGTACTCCCCACCACAAATAAAAGGAATGAAAGGAAAAAAAAAAACAAGAAGAGTATTTTCACATCAAATAGCACCAAATTAAAGAAGAAGAGATCGAACCACGTTCGCATTTTTCTAGTACTATTGTCATCCTTACTTTCTCCTACGCCTCAATTAGAGAAGCCGAAGAAGAAAGAAAAAGCATTCAGAACAGGAAATACAAAAATAAACCAAACAGATGCAAATAAGAAAAGGACACAGTTGAGAAACCAAAGCAATAATGACTGCTTGAAAGATAAAAAAAAAAAAACATGAAACAGCATAAAAATTACCAGAACGAAATTGTTCGAGCAACCGGGCTTCTTGGGCGCCTCATCGTCTTGATGCACGATATCCCCTGCAATTACCGAAGCAGGAGTCCAAAGCAGAACCACTGCAGAGAAGCAAGTCACCCAGAAGAAAACTCTCTGTAAATCCATATGGCATCCAAACGCCTCTCAGATTAAAAGCAAGTCACCCAGAAGAGTTCGGTTTGGTGTTCCTTCCTGGAATCTAATAGAAAGAAAGAAAAAGAAGAAGATTAAGCAAAACCAGTGTTTTTTGAGTCGTACGATAGACTTTTTCCGTTCTCTCTCTGTCTTCATTTGTTGTTTTCTTTTCTTGCCCATTTTTTTTGTTTAATAATTAAAATTAATTGATGCTGTGTGTGCTGTTGTTATAAGCATGACCGGCTACAACCCGTGAAGGCATCCTCCGTACATCCGTAGAATTGAAAAGTGGAACAAAACCGCGGGTCTACCTGCTTTTTGCAGTTACATTGCAGAGTCCCTTTTTTTTTAATTTTTATTTATTTTTAAAATTTATAATTTATAAATATAAGTGAAGTCATGCACATGGTGTGTTGTGAAATAAGAAGGCCCACATGCCACATGACCCTTGAAATGGGTGTGAGGGGCCGGTGGGCCAACTGTTGGGCACGGACGGTGAACTGTGCACTGGCCCAACATTCCGATCTATAATCGGATTCGGAGGCCCTGAACCCGATAAGATTTGTTTTGCAAATGAAGGATAACGGGTTTGATGCTCATCTCGTTCAACTTCCTTGGTAAGTTGGTAATGGTTCCTTTTTCTTAGGTTGAGTTGAGAGGATAAAATTTTATCTTATTCTATTTCTAATTGTCTGTGTGTAGACACACTCACACACTATGTGGTCAAGGTTGAGTTTTATTATGTGCTTTGTCGTTTGGCCTGGTGTCTCATGTCTGGAACTTTTTTAGGGTAAAAGATTTAAACTTCACCTACACCTGACGTTCACGCTAAATAATAAGACCTTCCCTCTCTTTTTAACAAAAAAAATGGATTAAGACGTCTAAATCATAAATCAATTAATCAAATTGATGGATTTAGTTTTGGTTTAGTATGAGTTTTAGTTAATGTAGAAAATATTTATTTATAATATATGTTATAAACGTAAAAACTGAAGAAGTCAATCGGTCAATTGATTAACCGGTAGTACCCATCCGATTAACCATGAACACCGCCACCTCCCTTGTAAATTGCATTAGCTGTTAAACACTGCCAGTCGTCGGAGTGGTTAAAATTATGCTTCTTTGGCAGCTGATTCTCAAATCTAAATCAGGGATGATCCTCCTTAACTATTTTGTTTTCAGTTTGTGCTCTGTAGTTTCTTGTGTTTAGGTGTTGTTGGTAGTTTAGGCTGGTAGTGTTGAATTTCCCTTAGGCTGTGTTTGGTTTGAAGGAAAAAAGTAGGGAAAGATAGGAAACTTTATATAAAGTTTGTAATGGTTTTCCTATCTTTCCTTTCCTTTTCCTTTTCCTTCAAACCAAGCATAGCCTTAGTTTATGCTTTCTCTGTGTAACGAATGTCTTATTTATCAAAAAAAAAAAAAAAGAAAGAAAAGAAACATAACAGAATAGTTAAGAAGGATTTAAACCTCCCCCAATGTGTATGCTAAATACTTAGATCTATGCCTCTACAAAGAGAAAGACTTTTTTCTTATTGTACACGATTAACTTGCTTTTTTCTTACTCTATATATACAGTATTGTTCGGTATTGTTCTTCACACGATTGCTTTCTTAATTATTTTTTTCTTAAGTCCATATTACTATTGTTCATCCCTTTCTTCTTTCCGTATATAATACATGAATACCCAAAACAAAAGTACAATATATAAATTACTGTTTTTTTTTTTTCTTTTTGTTTCCACTGGATTATTTACTCATTGATAAATGTTAGCTTTTCTGTTTTTTTGCAGTTGCTATAGAAATTTCTTGCATCAAATTACCGAATTAGCAGCTTTTCAGCAATAAGTTCTCGTTCTTCCTTAATTTCTGAAAGCTTCTTGTTCAATTGTGCCCTCTCTGTTTCTACATACGTCTCCGGATCTCCCTAGCCGATGAAGTGGGAATTTTCTCTCCAACACAGACAAACCATTTAATTAGTGTTTCAATGAGTCTCATCAATATATTGCATTGCCTTCTAGTTCTGGACAATTGTTATTACCACCTCTATGCTTTGGTCATTGAGCGTTTTCCATGGTCCAGTTTGAAAGCAAAGTTTGAAGATGTTGAAAACAATTCTTTGATCTATAAAAATAACTCCATCAAGTTGCTTTAATTCTTCTTTTATTTGAAGAGAATCTTGCATTAAAAAGAAATGAGAGGTGTAAAGGACTTGTATACAATCGTGGTCCCATGATTTTGCAGGCTTCTCCATGGTCGAGTAGTTGTGAAAAATCCATGATTGACTCCCCCATGGTGAAGAAGGACGAGAGAGATCATGTGGTAGCAAGTAGACAAAAGCAATAAGCAGGAGAGAGAGAGAGCTCAAACAATACTGCAATAGAGAAACATTTCTGAGTATCCAAAAACAGATATTAGGGCTAGTACTCCACTAAGTCTCGTCTGAATTATACGTGCCTACCATGGGATTCCCAGTTATAGCTTTGAGATCTCATTCATACAAAAGATAATACTCATGAGGTCCTCGTTCTTAGATGTTGTACTAGTTTAAGATACGTTTAAAATAGGGTTAGAAACTCAGAAATGCTTCTCTTGCAGTACCATTATTCAGAGAACAACATATATGCAATAAATAAATAGTAGATATGCAATTGAGAATGAGTAGCTAGCAACTATGAGCAAGGCAATTTCTCTCTGTGCGTGAGATCTGAAGTGATATTGGGGATCTAACTAGGTTGGGCCAACCCGAAAATGTGATGGCCCTTAATTTATTGTACAGGAAGAAAGAGGGCATGTTTTGAAAATTTAATGAACAATTAAGGTTATTTTTGTCTTTTAAATTTTATCTATTAGATTTACCCTTTGAAAGGTTAACAAGGCATATTTAAGTTGGTTTAAGGTTTAGGAAATGTATATATATGATGGAGGTTGATTTGACCCGACCCCTTGAGACGGTGACACATGGATATGACTCAGCACAAGTAATATCTCAGCACCACAGCCTGACCACGACTACGTAACGAGCCCACAGGACAGCTCGCTATGTCACAACTCGCCATAGGGTGAGCTCGCTATGGCGCGAGCTCGAAAACCCCTGATGTACTGAAAGGGATTACTCCAAGATAAGTCTATCCCAGCTCGCGAGCTAAGATAACCAACTCGCTCCAACACTTAGGCAGAAAAATTGCCCTAAGGGCAACCTCAAGAGGAATCACCTCGAAGTATCCCTGCGAGCTCGTTACAAGGTAACTCGCAACTAAATAGCTCGCTACAAGGCAGCTCGCAACTAAATAGCTCGCTACAAGGCAGCTCGCTACGGGATAGCTCGCTACAAGGCAACTCGCTACTAAGGGACACAACATTTTCAGGAAGCTTCTATCTGACAAGACTGTACCCATCAGACTGTACCACGTCTCCTGACTGATGGCGCAGTCCCTGCCAACCCGACAGACTGTACCCACGTCTCTCAACAGATGGTGGCATGTCTGTCCTTTCGGGACGTGTCACTCATCCGATTGGGTAGTACTCTGCAACGGTTACCTGCGCAGCCCTGGCAGATAACGGCTGCGACAGAGGTCCAGTGGAGGTTACGCCTGATTTGATAAGAATGCTCATATTTAAGAGCCCCATAGTCGAAGGGGAAAAGGTATCTTGAACATCTGAAATATATCTGAACTTTGTCTCGAGCTAATCTCGAACATTCAGTGATCTAGCGCGACCTGCACTCTTAGCCTTCTTTGCACTCTTTATTACTTTCTCCAGCGTTCTAACTTAAGCATCAAAGTATTCCCACCGGGCAAGTCCCCCGGGAATCCTTCATTGTCTTCTTCTCAGGTACCATCCGTCGCCAACTAGGAGCCAGTCAGTTGCCGACTAGGAGTGCCCGGATTGCGTAGCATCATTTGGCGTCGTCTATGGGAAACACTTCAAAAAAGCCTTCCTCTAAGTTTCTACAATTTCCTTTTGAGAACTTAGCATTCATGGCCTCCTCCAGCAACACCAGACGTGGTGCCAACCAGAACGCTTCTGGGGAGCAACCCCAACTCCCCACTGTCTACATCGGGCAATTCATCGTTCCCCTCTCTGTGGACAGGATCCCAGCTTGAACGTTCCTCTCACAGTGGCACCCGTGAACACTCCACTCCCTTCCATGGTTGGAGCGACCTTTGCTGAACCTTCGGTTGTGCCCCCAGTGACCAACCAGAACCAGTTAGAAGACCTAGTGCAATGCATGCGAGCCATGCAAGCTCAAATGCAGCAGTTCTAGCAGTTCCAACTCTACCAGCAACAAGTACTGCATCAGGTCTCTCAGTACTAGTACCAGCATTAATTCCCTTCCTTGCCTCAGGCCCAACAGCCGCTTCCCCCTCGGCACCCGGCCACGAAGCAAACTAAGCCCTCCCACCGGAGCGAACGACCGTGCCGGGGAGAAGCCTCTCAGGCCCAGGATCCTTCCAAGAGTCAAGCCTCTTCCCATGGCAGAAAGGAGAGGCCAGCCACCCCCGCCTCGCAGCCTGTGGGCAGGTTGGGGGCCTCCCAGCTGGTCAAGCCCGCATCGCCCCAGCACTATCAGTTCAAGCTCCCGCTCGCAGAAAACCCGTTCGAGGTCATAGTCGCAGACTACAAGCAAGGCCCTTCGGTTCAGAGCTACCATCAGTAGATTGAGCTCATCGAGCTCGGTAACACCGAAGCAAGCAGCACCAACGCCGAGCCGATGAAGTAGCAGCGGAGACGCCGACAAGCTCGTCGAACTGCTACTCGCGTCTTGCTTGAGGTCAGAGGTAAGCTCAGATGAAGTAAAAGCTACTCCTCTCCTGTCAGTTCCTTTCCCGCTGTCGCCAGAACTTCTTGCTGTCCCCATGCCAAGGGACTTCAAGCTCCCTCAACTGGATAAGTATGATGGATCCTTCGATCCGAATGATCATGTGGACGCTTTTCAGTCCCATATGCACCTGGCAAGAGCCAGTGAATTTTGTATGTGTGTGGCTTTCTCCGCCACCTTCAAAGGGGTAGCCCGCACTTGGTACCGAAACCTCACGCCCGGATCGATAAGAAGCTAGGCGCAGTTCGTGCAAGTCTTCACCTCCACTTTGTCACCAGCAAGAGGTGCCCAAGAACTCAAGAAAGCCTCCTCGGCATAGTTCAAAAGGAAG